GACAGGATGGGACCAATAGATGTATCTTAGATGGCCACTTGCAAGCTTTTAAGACCCCAAACGCTACTCACCACAGTAGGATGTAGAACATTATCTTTATGAGCTATATTATGCCAGTTGACCAGATGTTCCCTCAAGACAACGATCCCCAGCGTCAGCCCCAGTAACTCAGTCCCTCAAAGTGTTTGGATGTGTCTAGGAAGCTTCTATGACCTTACCTTGGACAAGCTGGGCTGACTTCCACTATATTGTGTATTATCTTTCCCTTCACCAAAGTCACCACTTGTCTACTATCTAGTTAATGATTTCCTCTCCCCACCTCTCCATACCCCTCCCTTGTAACCATCAAAGATTGTTTTTTTATGTGTGTAAACCTTTTCTTGTTTTTTTTATAATAGTAGTCTCATACAATATTTGTCCTTTTATGATTGACTTACTTCACTCAGCATAATGCCCTCTAGATTCATCCATGTGGTGAGATGTTTCACTGATTCATCATTGTCCTTTATCATTACGTAGTATTCCATTCAGTGTATGTACCATAATTTGTTTATCCATTCATCTGTTGATGGGCACTTAGGTTGTTTCCATCTTTTTGCTATTGTGAATAATGCTACAGCAAACATGGGTGTGCATATGTCTATTTGTGTGATGGCTCTTATTTCTCTGAGATATATTCCTAGTAGTGGGATTGCTGGATCGTATGGTGTGTCTAGCTTTTTGAGGTACCATATCGTTTTCCATCATATTTGTACCAGTTTACACTCCCACCTGCAGTGCCTAAGAGTTCCAGTCTCCCCGTAGCCTCTCCAACATCTGTTATTTTCTGTTTTTTTGACTCATGCCAGTAATGTTGGGGTGAGGTGGTATCTTATTGTAGTTTTGATTTGCATTTCCCTAATGGCTAATGATCGCGAGCAAACCCTCATGTGTCTTAGCCAACTGAAGGTCTTCTTTGGTGAAGTGTCTGTTCATATCCTTTGCCCATTTTTTGACTAGATTTATTTGTCTGTTGTTGAGGTGTTAAAGTATTCTATAGATTTTAGAGATTAGATGCTTGTTGGATATGGCATAGCCAAATGTTTTTTCCCAGTCTATAGGTTCTCTTTTTACTCTTT